ACTTTGCATCCGGTGCTAATTTTGATGCTCCGAACGAATATATATGTATGTGATTGAGTTGTGTGATTTTATAATATTATGACACCAGAATATCATCGCATTATAATCTATATTTCACAAAACTCTCTGTTACATTTTCGTTTAAAAACTTTCTTTGCGGAAAACTGAATAACATGTAACAAACGATTTTTTCGTAAAACATTTTTTTTGATCGCCTTTAAGTTCTTCTCTAACAGGATTAATTGATAAGGAAAAGCAAAAATTGCATTATTTAAAGAACAACTTCGTCGATTTAACAAAAGAGAATTTCAGCATTCTTTGAAGATTTAAAAGTGGTAAAAATAGAAAACAAAATTAAAATTTACAAAATAAGCACCAAAACCTGTCTTATCTGCTATGTAAAACTCGTTCCAAGTATCAATTTTTATCAATATATGTTGCCTCAAACTCAGACACCAAAGACAGCTCAAGCACATCATTAATAATATTATTGCGTATTACTATTACGCGTAGTTAACTTCAAAAGTCAAAATTTTGAAAAAATATCAACTTAACGCAACTCATATGTATGTAAAGACGATTTTATTTTATGAAATGCAATTATAAAAGAATAGTTTTAATTTTTAAAAAAGAAGAGGCATTTTTATTTTGAAGAAAATATATGGAAAAAAACAAGTATTATTATTAACTTTTAATATAAACTTCAATTATTAGTTTCATATCAAGAGTGACTCAATATAAGCAGGATCATAGACTAAAGGCACACAATTACATCATCTCCTTACTTGGGTGTAAATTTCCAGTAAATGACTATATACCTTTAATATCTGTTGTTTCTTCATAATTAGAACACGTAAAATAATTAAACCTATAAAAAAAATTTATTGAATTTGACTTTTTTCAAGTAATTTTTTTATCATTATTTTTGAAAGAAATGAATTTCAAACTTAAAATAAAAACATGGAAATAAAACAAAAAGATAATTAAGATAATCAATCATCTATGCATGTTTCAGTGACTAAAAGAAAAATGATGATGATGATTTCGTTATTTTTATAAAGCCTTCAAAGAATCTTCACCAATCAAGTCTATTTCAATATCCAGTTCTTCCTATGTTATCATTATTGATAATTAATATTATGATTATGAAATGTTTTGCATAAGGAAAAACTAAGGTTTCTAAATTTATGATTTATTACCATAAAATCTGTTTTCTTTTTTTCTGTAGCTTCTAAAATCACATTAAACATATCATAAAACTATAATAATAAATAAATATAGGTATTATTATATATATATATATACATATTCATATACATGTACATATCATAACATTTCATTTCCTACCATTCTTTTTCTTTGTCTCCAAAATTTAAGATTTTTTTCATATTCATCTTCAATTTTTTTCTTTTCTTCTTCGGATATTTGTGCTATGCCTGATTGCAATTCTTGTAGTCTTTCACTATAATTTTGATTCTTCAAATAATTGTTGATAAATATTATTAATTAATTGAAATTTTTTTGAAAATTTTGAATTTGCTACTCAAAAAACTTTTTACCTCTTTTTTTACAGTTGAAATTCTTTAACATTAGTTAACAACAGACATCATCAAATCTTAGTTAGCAAGTGTTAGTTGTAAAATTTTCTCACACTACTCCCATAATTATTTTTCTTTACCTTTCGTCAAATTGTTTATTAGATAAAGATTTACATAATCCATTGAACACTTATCAATATCATAAAAAAGATTTATTAGATAGCAATTAATAAATATATTTAATAAATCATCACCATCGTCATCATTACTATTAATTTACCTGATTGTAATTTATGATTCTTTTCTTTGAATTCATTTATTTCTTTTCTAAGATCTTCAATTTCTGCATCCATTTCAAGTAATTCTTCGTTAGAAGGTGATTCAAATTGATTCTATATATATATAATATATTATATATCAATATCTATTAATAACATTATTATTACTAAACAATTAAAGTTTCTTACTTGTTGTATACAATAAATGGTTTGTTTCCCATAGGTTTTAAATCTAATCTCCTCTTTTTTAACAAGTGAATTCAAGGCCTTTTGTGCAACAGTTTTTGTGACAGCTCCACCAAGATTATTTATAATATCAGCTAATTAATATTATCAATTTTGTTAAACATTATAGAAATTTAATTATTTATGAATAATAAATATAATAAAAGCTTACTGGCACTATAAGGACGATTGTGTTCTCTCAAGTATCCCAATATTATTTGCTCTGCTAAAATTATTGAAATATTACAACAATTTAAATTTAATAAATTCTCGTAATCTAATATAGTATTTATATTTTTTGAAATAATAATTCAAGGCAATAATAAAATACCATCGTTGCTTTTAGCAGCTGGTGCTTTCTTTTGCTTTGACATTTTTTTTTTTTTTCAAAAATTTAAAAAATTAAACGCGTCACGCAAAAATTTGGAAATTGATTTTTTAATTGGCTAGTTATTTTTATGATGAGCTGAATTATTATTTTAATCTCTATCATTTTCCTTTAATTTTTATTCTATCTTTCTATCACATGTGTCAAAATCGATTGTTGATCTTTTTATGTTGTGAAACATGTGATTTGAATTTAAAATGGCGTGACTGCGCACAAAAACTTGTTTAACCTGAGATGTTCTCTAATATTAACATAATAACAGTAATAGGAGCTTTAGTGACCGACGCAAGTATATTGTAGACTCTGGAGATCGCTCATTTTTGTTTTATAACATGTTTATTTAAAATTTACCAATTATTTATCAATACTAAAGTATTTTTAAAATCATCTTCCGTTAGTTATAACTGTCATCTTCATTTTCTTCGTATAATATTTCAATCATTGACCATCATCTTTTTCTAATCTATTTATATAGGATTTACATTCGAGAAACATCACTTTTTATAAAATTCCAAACAATAATCACTTCTATTATTTTTCTCCCCAGAACGTTTATGATAAGCATGACCACATAGTTTAGAGATATGGAAAGCTTTAATGGCTGTAAAAATACCAATGACGCAAAAAAAACTCATTTAAAGTACAAGAAAACATTTTCCTTATTGTAATACTTCTATCTATTGCAACTTCCGAAAAAATTATATGAAATAAACATACTCTCTCCCCATAGCCTATTCCGCAAATGTCTCCTGATTAAAGTATCTAATGATTTTATAAATGTGACGATTTTCCAGAAACCTTAGCAATTGAGAATTCTAAACCGCCATGCACTCTTTAAACCTCATATATACTATTCACAGCATCTAGAGCAACATCAATAACTATGACGTCGAAAACAAAATTTGTCACAAGTCCATTTAGTGTCTTAACTAATCGCAATAATTATTATTGTCCTTCTCAAATAAGAGAACATAGAACAAATAATTTGATAAGTGATGTAGCAATAAAATGTAAACAACCAATGTTAAAACTTTTTTAAAATAACCAAAAAAGTAGTATTTTAAAAAATCTACAGAATAGAATATATACTGTATAATTTCGCCCAATTTAATTAAATGTTATTTTATTACTAGTTTATTCTTTTTTTTATAGTTCGTGGAATGTTTATTCGAACAGAAAA